CCCCAAAACCCCAAAACCCCAAAACCCCAAAACCCCTCAGCTATCGAATAACTTGAAAGGAAATAAATCAAGATTATAACCCTAAACAGGTTCTTTCTAGTATCAATGCTTAACTATTTAAACAGCTTTTTGTAGGTCATCCACAACCCGTGCTCTGTACATTTTCAATATTTCTCCCCTATAGAGCCAGACCTGTTATAATCAGGTTAGGCTTATCTCCCTGAAGTTTTTAGGCAGACATATTTCAATTTTACCAAAGACTTGAGAAGAAGATCAGTTTATAGATCTTTTTAATGGGAAGGGATTTAATTCCTATTTAGCCTATTTTAGAGTATCCATATTATGAGGAATCTATACACTTAAAGAATATAAGAATCTTACAAGAACTGTATTCACTTATGGTGTGTTTAAGATACTGAATGACACGACCAGAGACTACACGAACCTTTCTGTGTTGCTATAAAACTCCGTGTTTTATCATACTCATGATTCAAATCGGTAAACAAGAATGCATGATGGCACAGGATAATTCCGAAATTGCCATCGTTAGTATCAAACAAGAAAAAAGAAGACAGAGACGACCTAAAGTTAAGCCTGCACCTAAAAGGCTCCTGAAAGAGTTCTTCTACGAAAGAACTTTTGTGTCCCTTGCTTTGGAATACTATGGCTATCGACATGAAGTAGCAGCGTTTTATAAAAAGTTCTCACATGTTACTAGAAGGTTGCTGCTAAAGAGCAGTAACACTGTTGGCAGTCTTGAAGACTATAAGAGAGCTGTGTATCGCTTAAAAGTTACTGATACCCTCCAAGACCTATTTAGATATAACTGATATGAACATGTCATTATTCAACCAGAGATAGCCGTAGATTCTTCCCAGAAGTTAGTTAAGAGGATCAAGTGACTTCTTGAGAACACCAAGAGTCCAGTGAAAGAGGAAAGCAAAGATTTATCGGTCATAAGATCTTCCCACTTACATCCATTAGAACTAGAGAAAGCAAAGATAGCACTCCCAGATGGCTACGAAGCAGATAGCAGAGGATTCGTCAAAGTTGATTTTGAAGAATTTGGGAAAATCTTAGTGAAGCTTACTAAAATAGCAAAAATGTATGGAATCAAACCTAAGAAGATCAAGTACATGAAGAATGAAGATGAGTTCATCAATTGTATTGATCTAGGAGCCACAATGGAGTTTGTAGGATTCAATGCCTTTATTGCTGATACTTCTCACAACAAAATAATGGTCTTCACTGAAAACCTTGATGTCAAAGAGTGAGAGCCTGATTTTTACGTAGACAAATATTTCGAAATCAACAATAGTATGGAGAAGAAGCAAATGACCCTTCTATGCTTCCAAAACTGTTTTCAGAACAGGGATGTATGGTACAAGCTTAGAGGCCTGAGGAATACAGATGAGCTGTTCATTGATTTCGCTGATATAGAAAAAGCAGTCAATTTCTTCTTACCAAGCTTGATAAAGAATCCTCAAAAAATAAGAATTCTGAACATAGAAGCGAATATAAATCGTTATAGTATGTGTTACAAGTTCTATCAGGATTTTCTATTTCATGCCAGACCAGAGAGAGTCAACATAAACCTGTACTACAGCCATAAGATGGCTTATGTAAAGTACTCAGTCTATCCTCGAATTGTATACGCCATCAGGATTAGTAGAGAAAATGATGCAGTTAAATTCAGTAGAATTGTTACCACAGAAGATACCCAAATCATGGCAAACCACTTGCAATTCTGGAAGTTAGAAAATGAAACCACAGAATGTCTCATTTCGGATGACTTTTGTCTTAACAATGGCCGGATCATTGAAATGAGTGAATATTTGGTAAAGAGTCCAAACCTCCCTAAGATTGTGAGACAAGCTGTAAATTGGCATATTACTTATGGAAGAATGATTGGAAATTCTATGTTGGAGCCAGAGCAGGATCAGAGTCCAGTGGAGTCAAGAAGCGTGCAGGAATCCCTGAAGTTCCAAAAATATTCTGGAAAGTAGTAAAAACGATCTTTGGCATCCCTCTTGCTATAAAAGATGTGTATCCTAAAGTAAGAGTAGTAGCTGAACTAAGACCCAAAACTGATGAGATAGGTGTTCAAAGAAGTAATATTGTTCAAGAGCAGGCTAACTCCTTCGGTGACCTAGTCGAGCAGGAATACTGATAATGATTCCCTTCTAAAAGTCAATAATTACCTTTATTAATAAACATTGAATTTTAAAATGAATGTAATGAGTGTTTCAATGTATTCCAGATTTACGGGGTTTTGGGGTTTTGGGGTTTTGGGGTTTTGGGG